GTGAAGGAAACTGAATAAGTAGTCTTGATATGGCTCCTGTGCTAAAACCAGAGCCCTGACTGAGAAGTGAGTATCCGAGGATATATTTATGATTGTACAGACTGCCTTGGCCCATGAGGAGACAGACTGTCATCCTTAATAATCCGGATATGAACGCCTTTGAGGAACAATATCATTTTAGTTAGAGTAATTTGGGGCCATTTTTTTCTAATTGGATGATTGCCATCATAGAAGAAGATTCCAGCAAGTTCCGCATAAGTAATGAGTCATTTATTCCTCCAGGAAGCATCTTCAAGTAACTAAGGATAGTCTCAGTTCTGAGAGATCTTCTTCTTGGTCCGAGAGTTACATGATCTGCTGGTGGTGTTTGTTTAAACACTTATAGGTCTCTTGCCATAATTCCTAAGGTGCAACTCACTGTGTTTTGGGGAGGGAGGTAAGTTAGTGCCTGGCCTTCACTTCAAGAAATACACTCTTGGAGATGCACACAGTGTCCCTGGAAAGACCATGGTTGTTGATAATTTCTGGAGAGTATCAACTCAGGGGAGTTTGCATCAGTGTGGGGTAGGAGGCATAGATTGACAGTGCCTCCAACGTGGCCTCCTAGCCAGGAGCTGTTAGGCCTTAGGGATAGTTGAAGCTAGTCCCTAGTTTGGAAAGACTAGCCAAGGGTAGTCCACCCTGTCCTGTTTGTCTATGTCACTAGCTCATGGGATGACTGAGAATGGGAATGAAGAAAATATTCAGAGGTGTTGACACGTGTTGTCAGGGAATGTGTAGGAGCTGGATTCACCCTTTGTTTCCAATAAACTTTATGGTGAGGTTAAGGGAACAGTTATTAAATTGTGGTCAGGGCTGTTTGACAGCAAATGACGTACCCACTGTGTCATCTAAGATGCTTGCAACAGTTTAGGAGAGTTGTGTCACAGCATTTTCCTTGAGGAGACAGCCCCCAGCAGAAGTTCTGGAAGACAATGTATGATTAACGTTCCCATCTACTCCTCCCTATGTCCCAGGGTTTATGATGTCCTTCTCTAGGGTTGTTGCTGTCCTTTTGTCTCTACAAAGTCAGTGTGTCCCTTCCAGTAGCTATAACCTCACCTCTTTCCTAATCATACCCTCTTCATACCCACATCTTTTGTCTAGATGGTCAGGTGCAAGAAGGAAAAACACATCTTAATAATATTAACTTACAGAGAGATCCCTTATGTCCTCCATTTGGGCCTGCATGGGAGACTCAGTGAGCACTGTATTCAACCAAGTGTTCATTATTCTTATGATCTAGGACCATGTCAATCCAACAAGAGAAAGCAGGTGGCTGAACCAGAATGAAATTTGAATCCGCCAGGCCCTCTTTTGGCCAGTCTGCACCTGGAAGCTATACCAACCTAGATGGCCTAGTGTTGCCATTAAGGGAAAGAGTGAAACATTCGTGCCCAAGAATGGCCAGGGCAGACTTCTGAATATTCAAAATACTTCTGTATCACCCTCCACCCCTTCCATCCCAAACATGACCCAGGAAATGGTTGAGAGGATACTATCCCTTACTGGAGAGAGCTGCATTTTTGCTCAGTGACCAAACTGTTTCACTAGGTTGACCAGAAGGAGGTGAGGGAGGTAAAGTCAAAAATATTTTTTTAATTAAGCTTTTTATTTTGTGATCATTGTAGATGCACATACAGTTATAAGATATAATACAGAGAAAGCTCATGTACCATTTGCAGTTTTCCTCAATGGTAACATTTTGTGAAATTATAGCACAATATGCCATGGATACAGTCAAGCTACAGAACATACCCATCACCACAGGATCCCTCAAGTTGCCTTTTAATAGCCATACTCATTTCCATCCCCAACCCCACTTCCCACCTCCTTAACCCCTGACAATCATGAAGCTGTTCTCCCTTTCTATAATTTTGTCATTGTAAAGGATGTTATAGAAAAAAAGTCACAACATATATATGGAAAACACCTAGCCTTTTACATTAAGTGTAATATTAGCAATAGGTTTTTTTTTTTTTTTGTGGGACAAATTGTGGACATTCCTCTCTATTTCTCTGTTTCTGAGCATTTTTATGGTACTGAATTTTGTGACATGTTTGTTCTGTATTCACTGATATATCTGTGTGATTTTTAGGCTTCTTCTTTAGGCCATTAATATCATGGATTACACTGATTGAATATTAAATAAGCCTTCCATCCTTGGGAAAAAACCCACTTGGTCATGGTGTATAGTTAGTTATGTTTATATATTGCTGCATTCTGTTTGCTAACATTTTAAGGATTTTCGTATCTATGTTCATGAGGGAAATTTGTCTGTAGTTTTCCAAGTCTGAGACAATGAGACAAAAAGAAAACCCAGGGAACTCACCATCATGTCATTCCTTGGGTCCCTAGATTATTAGCTTGTCTACCTGCTTTTTGCAAACTTTCAAAGTCTTCATATGCTTATATATACAAGCATACCTTGGAGATATTGCTGGTTCAGTTCCAGACCACTGCAATAAAGTGAATATTGCAATAAAGTGAGTCAAATGAATCTTTTGGTTTCCCAGTGCATATAAAAGTTATATTTACACTATATTATAGTCTATTAACTACTAAATAACATTATGTCTAAAAAATGATGTACATGCCTTAATTTAAAAGTTCTTTGTTGCTAAAAAATGCTACCTTCTGAGCTTTCAACAAGTCATAATCACTGATCACAGATCACCATAACAAATATAATAATGAAAAAGTTTGAAATATTTTGAGAGTTACCAAAATGTGACCTGGAGACAAAGAGTGAACAAATGCCATTTGAAAAAATGGCACCACTAGGCTTGCTCAACACAGGCTTGCCACAACTTCAATTTGAAAAAAACAAAAACGAAACAACAAAACCCAAAAAACCAAAACCCACAATATCTGAGAAGCACAACAAAGCAAAACACAATAAAACAAGGTGTTCCAGATATTAAGTCAGGATTTTTAGTTGTACTAGCAGGGCAAATTTAGAAAATTATGTCTACTCCATTTTCTTACAAGTAGAATTTCCCAGGAATCTTTTTTTTCAGTAGACTTTTGAGGAAACTGTTCCAATGGTTAATATCAAATTCTTGTCAGTGGTAATGAGTGTGGAAGGTTGATCATATATACCTTGACCATCAGTCCACTGTTGAGTGGCTTTTTAGATTAAAAAGTGAACTATCACCAGATTACAAATGTTCCAGAAAGCCACACTCATGACTAATTTCATTGGCCAACTCTCCTTTGTGGATTTCCATGACTCCCAGATGGATAGAATATTGTTAATCTACTCAAATATTTTTTTTTACTTGGTGAGCAGGGTCCTAAATTTTTGGAGAGTTTGTGGAGGTGTGATTACATAGTAATCAGGTACCTAGACTACGGTGTCTGATTAATCCACGGTCTCAGACTGACTTTAAGGTGGTTTCCCCCCCTCCCCCATGATCTTCACCTCCTGGCTTTTAGGAACTGCAGAGCTAGACTCTAGAAAGTAAGGGTAGCTGTTAGGTGACATCCAAAAAAAACCTGGAGAACTCATCCCTGTAACTGCAAAGAAATGATTGCTGCTAACAGCCTAAGGGAGCTCAGAAGCAGATACTTTTCCAGTTGAACCTTCAGATGAGAATGCAGCCTGTCAGACATCTTGATTGCAACCTTGTGAGACTCTAAGCAGAAGATCCAATTAAGCAATGCCTGGGCTCCCGACCCTTAGAAAATGTGAAATAATAAATGTGTGGTGTTTCAGGCTACTAAATTTGTGGTAATCTGTTACACAACAATAGGTAACAAATTTAACAACCATGAGAACATTATCTGTGTAGTGAAATCTTTGGACATCAGAAGGTAGAGGCATGCACTCAATAAATTCTGATCCCCTCCTCCCCTCCCTGACAAATGGCAGGTAAGATCATAATGGTAATTCCCCATGATGCAGTACCACAAACATAATTTGGAGACCTTGGTAGCATGCTAGAATAGGCTTCTCTGCATCTTGGTAGTCTCATCTGAAAATGGAGATAATTATAGCATTGACTTGATAAGATGGTAGTAAGAATTATATATGATAATGTGAGTAAAGCAGTTTAGTACAAGGCTTGGGACATTTCATGGTGTGTGGCCCAAATGAATGATGCTCTTGGCATCTTAATGACTTAGAGAGGTCACATCTCTATCATGTCCTTACATTATAATTGCAATTGATTTGCAGACCACCCCTCTCCACCCCAGCTAATCAACCAATGATTTCCCCATGATCAAAGTATCCTTTTGTGCAGTTCTATCTTAATTCTCACAGATAAAGCAATATTTCCCATTTTTCCACAACTACCAACACCCATCAAAAAACTCCAAGCCAACCAAGTCTTCCAAAGCACTCCTGTAACCACCACTGGGCTTCCCCGCGGAAACAGCCACCTTCCCGGCTAATAATGACTTCATTGAAGGATTCATTAAAAATTTTTTCCCCAACAAAAGAATACTGTCCCCAAGAAACAGTCTCTTGAATTTTATTATTGGCTCTCCAGAGAAAGCGGCAAGAGTGAAGTCCTCAGGCGTGGCCTGAACGCCTTTTGGGGGCGTGGGCATCCCGGGGCCCCAGTCCCTTCCACTCGGAAATGCAGGGGCTTCAAGCCAACTCTGGCGTGCCTTAATTTCATCCCAAGAACAGACTGCAATCGTCATGTTTAAACAAACCAGCCGTTATAACGGCCTAAAAGCATGGGTATAACGGGGGCCAGGGCAGGGGTAAAGTCGGGGTGCGCAGGAGCCCGCCTCGATCCCGGGCCCCTCCCGGGCCCGCTGCCGCTACTGAGTGCCACATCAGCGCCCGCGCTGCACTTCCAGGTTCTTTTCGAGGATGGAGCGAACTAGCCCGCCGGGCGGGGGCGGGCCGAAACACTCGAGAGTGGCGGGCTGGCTGACCAATAGGAGGCCATCGAGGAGTCGCGGCCACCAATGAGCTGGAGCTTCGGGTAGTCGGCCCGCCGAGGTTCGTGCCCCGCGGGGGAACCAGATGAAGCACATCTGGACAGCTGCGCTGGGGAACTGTGCGGCCCCCTCGCGGGCCCGACGTCAGCTGGGCACGTCCCCCACGTTCTCTCCTGCTAGCCACTTATTATTATTCCTATTCCCAAAGAAGCAACCGAGGATCCAAGCTTAAACTTTTCTCCTCCGCTGAGACGGGGCCAGATCCCATCCAGCACACAGTTTAATTTTCATGGGGCTCTGGGATCAAAAGAACAGAAACAGCAACAACAAAAGCCCAGCCGCGGTCTGATTTAAAACAGGCAAAGTGAGAAAAGTAGTGTTGAGTAAACAGACTAAGTTGGGTAAGTTCTGGAGACGTGCTGGATATCTTATTTCTCCCGCTGTGATCTCTCTCTCCTGCGTCTTTTTGCTGTTCTCATTATCTACTCTTCATCAGGGAGATGAGAAGATCGCTTGCTGCCACAAACTGCACATACCCCCGGCTTCCTTTCCTTCTGCTTTGCTAACAATTTAATTTCATTTTTTTGGTTACGTGTGTGTTATTTTCAAAAATTTCCTGGGAACAGAAATTTAACTGGCATCCCGTTGTAAGCCTCTCCAAATCTCAAAGTGGAATCTACTGAAAAATTTATTTTCCTATTTCTTTCTGTGGGAAAAGAATATATATTTGTAAAGCTGAAATCTTTATCCACCCCCACCTTCCCTGTTTGGATACAAGATTGAGAAAGTTACCAGACTTATTCTGAATTAACAAAACTTTTGCTTCTGTTAATAAGATGTTTAATATTAACTTACATTCTGAATTCTATAGGTAACTGCTGTTTCACATACATGTGAATGTGGTTGTAACGAAATACATCTTTTCTAGGTTCTCTTATCCATAGTAGGGGGCCAAAATCCTTTACTATTGGTCAAAAGCTCATTAAATATGTGACAGACAATTGTGTGTGTCGATAACTTAAAATTGTATGTTAATCCCTTAATTCTATCAAAGTAATATTTAGAGTGATAATTAGATGTGTATACTTGCAGATAATTGTGACACATATTTCAGAATTTAGAAAAGGAAATGATGGCAAATGTTGAGCTAGGTGAATGGCCTGAGGTTCATTCCATTCAAAATATCTATAATTTGTTTAAACAATGTTTTGGATTTGAGACATTGTCATATATTATTTATTGTCATGGCAGATCTAACCAAAACTGATGTGTAATTTCTGGTTCAGAAGCAATGGGTGGAGATTTAGTGCCATAATTGCCAAGTTGCAGTGTTTTTGAGTCAGAACGGTGGTTCAAACAGTGGATGGAACAGTTGAAGTGGTTTTCAGGGATGCAGGGTTAGAAGGAACAGAGTTGCAGAGAAACAATAGAAAGAGCCTGTTGGCTTGGTTCAACTCACAACCCCACTGTTTGAACCTTGGGTAAGTTACTCAGACCATCTGTGCCTCAGTTTCCTCCTCTGTAATGTGGAGATATTATTATCTACCTACCTCATGGGTTGTCTCAAGGACTAAGGGCGTTAACATAGGTTAAACAATAGTTCTGACACATTGTAAGTCTTTTCTGTTGTACTCTCCTTTCCTTCCTTCTCCGCTTCCTCAGCTTCATGTCAGGTTCTCAGCTACCATTCTGACCCCCCAGATTAGCAACTAGCATTTACTGAGTGCTGACTTCTTATTAATAATGCACTATATAAGGCTGTAAAGGAGAGAGAGTCTTGAGAGGAGAGTAGAATTTATCAGGTGCCAGAGAGAGAGCTAGAAGATTCTGGGAGTGCAAAGAATGGAAAGAGGACTTCTTGTTGTAGGGTGGATTCATAGAAGATTGGTTTTCTGGGAAGGGATTTTGCCAAACAGGTTTGGTTGAAAGTAAAGGGTTCATGGAACAGCAGGTGGCAGGCATTCTAGGAGAAAGGGGAAACATGGACAAAGCACCAAGGCTGGAAAATATGGGTCTATCCTTGGGGACAATGGGTTGTGATGCAAGATAATCTGTGAAAGGTGCATGGATGGAAGGGTTGGACAGGTGGGAGAAGCAGGAGAGGACAGTATGGAGAGGCTGGTGCAGAAGGGGAGGCTTGGGATGTAGAAGGGTGGGGGATGGTAAGCTGAAATGGCAGCAGTTATATGGTGGAAGTGTTTCTGGAACAATCTCTTTCTGGGGTCCTGTCTCCACCTCTTGCCCAGCATGTGCTCCTTGTCCACTCCACTACTTCTGTGACCTCTCTTCAGGGCCGGCAGGCTGTGTGGTTAGGACTGAGCAATGAGCCTGGGCCGTTCCTTTTAGACTCCGTGGTGTTTGTCTGGAAGCTCTGTTGATGTAGTCTGCTATTCCGGGCTATTATTCCTGACACTTTTTAGAGATAGGCCTTGCCCTAAAGTCTTTGGTATGGATGTGATTGTTCCATCTCTCCTGTTCTCCCATAGACACTGTGTCTGCAGAGCAGCTCTTTCTCCCCCTGCTGAGAGAATCATCTCTTCATGCATTAATACTTGTAACTTTGTAGTTCACAGTTATGGAAGTAGGTAAGACCTGTCAGGTAAACCTACATGCATCAGGCTGGCACTCTCCTGCTTTCTCTTCCTTGAGGGCATTGTGCTGGGGCAGAGAGAACCTGAGTTCTGGCCCTGGCGCTGCTGCTGACCACATGTGTGACCTCGGGCAAGACATGGAGCCATTATGCCCTTCTTTGTGCTGTCATTTGTAAAATTATCTCTAAGGTTCTAGCTCTCTTGGATGATCTTTTTTTCTTCTCTCCTCATTTCTGGGACAGTCTGTTGTTTGCAGATGGCTCTTTAAGACATCCGTGGCTAACATTTCTTGGCCACTTAGTACATGGCAAATTTTATTCTGAGGCCTTAATGTACTTTAGCTCATGTAATCCTCTTACCTGTTGACTGAGGAGACAGAGGCACAGGCATCTTAAGAGACTTGCCCAAGGTCACACAGTGAACAAATGGCAAGTACACAGCCAGTCTAGAGCCAACTCTAGAGCCCAAGCCTTAACTACTAGGCTACACTCTACTCTTGCTTGTTATGATGATAGTCAAGAAGTCCATGGGAGTAGGATCATGGGAAGGGAAGGGAACATTTGAAGAATTGAGCTGGTAAAATTTCCCTGGAGGGTCCAGAATATCAACATGAATCATGTTTATGGGATATACTGTGTTTGGAGACAGAAGACATTTTGCTCATTCATTAGATGGGGCACATTGCAGGCCAGCACTCTGTCTTTTCATCTTGTTTGAACAAAACCCACCTTAATACCCAGACGTATGGTAGATACTCAGTAAATATCAGCCAAATGATTATCCTTTTTGAAAACAAAGTGTTTAAGAGTCAGAAGCAATGGTTTCCCCTTTATTTACTTGGTTTCTTCTCTTTTTACTACTCTCCTCAGAGGGTGCTTTGTTACTGGTTTGGTCTATATCCTTTCAGTCCTTCTGTAAGGGTCTACTCACAGGTATAGATCTAATAAAATGGGACCATTTGAAAATAAAAATGGGACCACAATTCTTTTAGTTGAAATATAATTCACATACAGTGTTATGTTAATTTCAGGTGTAAAATAATTCAACAATTCTATACATTAGTCAGTGCTAATCACAGTAAGTGTGCTCTTAGTCTTCTTTATCTACCTCACCCCTCCCCCATCCATGTCCATTCAGGCAACCACCAATTTGTTTTCTGTATTTAAGAGTCTATTCTTTTGTTTGACTCCTTATATTTTGTTCATTTGTTTTGTTTCTTAAATTCTACATATGAGTGAAATGACATAGTATTTGTAACAATATTGGTTCCTCCAATCCATGAGCATGGAATAGTTTCCCACTTGTTTGTGTCTTCTTCAGTTTCTTTCATCAGTATTTGATATTTTGCAGTACAGATGTTTCACCTCTTTGGTTAAGTTTACTCCTGGGTATTTTATTCTTTTTAATGCAATTATAATTAGAGTTGTTTTCTTAATTAATTTCTTAATTTCTCTTTCTGCTGCTTCATTATTAGTATATAGAAACGCAACAGGTTTCTGTATATTAATTTTGTATCCTGCAATTTTACTGAATTTCTTTATAAATTCTAGTAGTTTTTTGGTGGAGTCTTTAGGGTTTTCTATATAGGGTATCATGTCGTCTATAAAAAGTGAAAGTTTTACTTCTTCCTTACCAATTTGGGTGCCTTTTATTTCTTTTTCTTGTCTGATTGCTGGGGCTTCTGGTACTATGTTGAATTGAAGTACCAAGAGTGGGGCACTTGGGTGGCTGAATTGTTAAGTGTCTGTCTTTGGCTCAGGTCATGATCCCGGAGTCCTGGGATTGAGCCTCACATCGGGCTCCCTGCTCAGGGGGAAGCCTGCTTCTTCCTATCCCATCCCCCCTGCTTGTGTTCCCTCACTCACTGTCTCTCTCTCTCTGTCAAATAGATAAATAAAATCTTTTAAAAATACCAGGAATGGATAACCTTATTTTATTCATGAAAATGGTGGAAAAGCTCTGTTTTTCATCATTGAAAATATTGTGGTTTAGAACCACAACATATTTATTAAAAAAAAAAATAAAGAATCTGAAATGTTTTAAGGCTTGTGGAAAAATGGGGCAGGTGTCAGGTAAATATTCTACTTCTATTTTTTGGGCATCAAAGTTTATTCTCTTATTCCTGGAGATGCTGTGGTTTTGGGATAAGAACTTCTCATGATGAAGATTGATGCAGGATTATTTTAGGTATCCCATTATACCTAGCCTGGATTTGACACCTTTTTGATACTTCATTTTTTAAGTCTTTATATTCTTTAAGCCTTGGATCAACTCTAAACTAGTATTTGAAAAATATTTTAATTTGCTTTTTACTTCATTATGTTAATGGAGACAGTCTTTTCAGTATAGCACTCTGACTGAGCACATAGACTTTGGAGTCAGACTGTGAGGGTTTCAATCCCAGATCTGCTTCTTACTAGTGTACCTTGAATAAGTCACTTTCTCTAGGAGGATTTATTATGTTGCATTTATTATTATAAAGTGGGAGATAACAATAGACATTAAATGAGAAAAATCCATATAAAGAATTTAGCATAGTATCTGGCTCATAATAAAGCCTAAGCATATAAGCAATTTATTGTTTATTGTGGTAAAAAACATAAAATTGGCCATTTTAACCATTTTTAAATGTGTAGTTCAATGGCATTAAATACATTCACATTGTTGTGCAGAATCACATCTATCTCCAGAACTTTCTTACCAAAATGAAACTCCATAGTCATTAAACAATGCCTGTTACCTTCTCTGACTGGCAACCACCATTATACTGTCTTTAGGAATTTGATTACCCTATGTACCTCATATAAATG